TACAGATACACACACTGACAAACATGCAGATACATAGAACCACAGTTACAAACACTGACACATACAGACAGGTTGCAATCACTGACACATATGCAGATACATAGATACAAACACTGACACACATACAGTTGCACAGACACACTGCTGCTACACCTCTTGACGCACATGCAGATGCACAAATACAAACACTGACACACAAAGACACTCAGATACACACACACACAGATGTACAGACACACAGATACAAACATTACCACACATGTAGATACACACACTGACACATACGTCTGTACAGACACAGAGCTACAAACATTGCCACACATGCAGATACAGACACACACACTGACAGATACATAGACACAAAGAAATAATGACTGACCAGCATACATATACAGACACAGACAAATATACAATCACTGACACACATACATAAAAACATACACACTCAGATACAAAAAATGACACAGATACAGACACACAGATACATACATGGACACATATGCAGATAAAGACACAAATGCAAACGCTGACACACATACAGTTGCACAGACACACTGTTACACACTGACACATATGCAATTACACACAGGGCCGGTGCAAGGATTTCTGCTGCCCTAGGCAAAGATCCATTTTGCCGCCACTTCATGTCACTCACTCACTGACAGACACATGCTGACACATACACTCACTCACTGACATACAGAAACTCACTGACAGACATTCACTCACTGACACACACAGACACTCACTCACTGACACACACACATACTCACACAGACACTCCCTGACAGACAGACATACGCATTCACTGACAGACATATACCCACTCACTGACAGACAGACATACACTCACTCACTGACAGACACACACACACACACACTGACAGACATACATTCACTCACTGAAAGACACACACACAGATACTCACTGACAGACATACACACACACACACAGACAGACATACACACAGTCACTGACAGACATACACTCACTCACTGACAGACACACATACACACACACTCACTGACACAAGAAGAGCCTCCCTTGCCGCCTGCATTTTCCTCCTGGGCACCGGCATTTGATGGCATAGTAATCAAGGTAAGAAGGTTCCTGCTCTGCAATACTGTGACAAGGCTCATCTGCTGCGGCCCTAGACAGGGGGAGCCCACCAGGAAATATCCCGGTGGGTGCCCCCCAGCAGGCCGGCGCCCTAGGCAACACAGATACATACACCATTACACATACTGACACACATACAGATACACATAGGTACAAACAGTGCCACACATGTAGACACAGACATACAGATACACACACTGACACATACAGATACACACACAGATACAAAAACTACATATATACAGATACAGACATCCAAAACATGCATACAGATCAAAATTTGAGCTACCCTCCAGTTTGTGGCTGGTGGGAGTTGGGGTCTTGCTTCTCTCCTGGTCCGGTACCCCCTCGCAGCTCTCCCCTCCCACACTGCTGTTTTTGTATGAGCTGGGAGTAAGTGCCTGGCACTCTCTCACTTCCTCCCAGCAGATTTGAAGGGGCCCTGTTGTGCTATTAAAATGGTGCAGCGCACGACTGGGCCCCTCATGGCACAAGTCCATCAGGTGGCCCTAAGTGCATGGGCCACCTGATGGACCTGCTCACTATGTGGTTCCCAACCCCTATGGCCGTTATTACCGAATTTGTTTTGCAGACCCCCGGGGGCGCTGATACAACAGGTTGGGAACTCCTGCTCTATCCCCAAAATAAGCAAACCATAAAATTAAACAAAAAGGGCCATGTTGCACCTATTAAAACAACATTTGCAGTCCTATATTAAATGCATATAGTAAAAGATACAGTATAAAATTTAAAGTTCAGATCCTCAGATGTATTGTTCCTCAACATGATAAACAAGTAGGAGAGAAAGAAAGTCCAATAGTGTAATATGTTGATTGTAGCGGATGGCACCAGGCGACCCTACAAAAAAGACTGTATAAAGCTGCATCCGTGTATCTGCTGTAGTTTCTGTGTATTGAAAAAGAATTGTATTCCTCTGATTGTTCGGTAGTTTCATTCCCTTAGTTTATTCGAATGAAACTACCGAACAACCAGACCTCCCTGTGTGAAGTGTGTCCTCAATTACCCGTTGCAACATTGTTGCGAACGGGTAATTGAACAGTAAGTAGCCGTCCTTTGTTCTCGGGGGTGGCCGCCATTCGACAAACGAACACGTGGCGGCGGCCATTTTAAAACTCCCGAACAGCGGTGTTTTGCCGTCGAGTGTCTGGAACTAAAATCGGACACTCGAGTAGGCGAACACCGCTGAGACCTCCACAGCCCTGGTCCGTTCGGTTCCAAACTACCGAACGGCCCCTCGTTCGGTAAATAGAGAATACCGAACGAGGGGATTCAGGCGAACCCCCCCTAGCCTCTATAGCTAGAGGCTTTCGTGTATTTTATTCCCTTATGCCAGGACCGACCGCAAGGCCCATTCACATGGAACCGAATTCGGCTAGCTCTGTTCGTGCGGTCGGTCATTTTATTCCCTCCATACTTTTCCCGAACCCCTGGTCCGATCTGGGTGATTTTTGGATATGTTGTTCACCCAGATCAGGGCTACCCGGGGATGTATGATTTAAAGGGGTACCCCTACGTTTAGGGGTACATCCAGAAATAGGGGGAATTGGTGTGCTGGCTAAGGGGATTATGATGCTGGCTGAGGGGAGGGGATGTGTGGGAGGTTACCAGGACAGGATTGGCTACTGTAATAATTACTGTAAATCCCTCCCTTGCATGGGAGCATGCTTTATAAGGAGACTGTGATTAAAGGCTTGTCAGTTATGCTCCTGAAACTGTGTGTCGTCCAGTTATTGGGATTGCTGTTGGGATATTGCTGTATTTTACCTGCTGGAAACCCTGCCTTTGGATTTACTATTTACTTGTTCCTGAGTCTCACTTGGATTATAAGCGGAGATAACCTGGGTAATATTGCATCTCCGCTACATTGGTTGGCAGCGCTGGGATCCAGACTCACAGAGGAACAAGCCTAAATGGAGTACGGATGGAGATTGATTTTGCCACACTAAAACGCTCCACGCTAAAAGACCTTCTGGAGGCAAGGGGTATCCAAGCCAGCAATAAGACAAAAGCGGCACTTATCACTGAACTGATGGCGGAGTACCGAATGGAAGGCGATTCGGTTCCCGAACAAGGGAATTCGGGAGAAACACCGGAACAAAGGGAGTTCCAGAGGCAGGTACAATTTCGGCTGTCTTTCTATGGGGAACACCCTCCAACAGAGATTATTTCCAAAACGATAACGGAGGTCCAGGAGTTTATACTGAGGAGTCAAACAGCGGCCCCAGAACGCAGCTCTGCAGTAAATATGCCACATGAAGGTAAGCCGAAAATACCGTACCAGGCTTTTAAAACATATGTGGAGGCAGAGGAAGATATAGACGCTTTCCTGCAAGATTTCGAGAGACTGTGTGCACTGCATAGAATCAGCGCAGAGGACTGGGTACCCATTTTGGCAGGAAGGTTAACTGGGAGGGCAGCTGAGGCATACCGGACTGTACCGAATGATGAAATTCGGAATTATCACAAAGTGAAAGAAATTATATTGGCCAGGTATGCTATAACACCAGAAGCATACCGGCGGAGATTCAGGGATTTAAAGAAGGTGGAGAAAGACTCACATGCTGAGTGGGCATGCAGACTACAACGAGCAGTCTTGGGGTGGGTGCAAGCGAGCAAGGCACGGTCTATGGAGGATGTATTGCAAATGGTACTGCTGGAGCAATTTTATGAAGGAGTAACCAGCGAGGTACAGGAGTGGGTAAGAGACAGAAACCCTACCTCCCTTACCGAAGCAGCCAGGAAGGCAGACGAGTACCTGGATGCACGCAGGCAGCAAAAACCTGCAGCTCCAAAAGTACCTTTTAAAACCTTTGGGGGAAATAACTACACGCCAGCTCTACCAAGGTCACTGCCACCACCACCACCACCCGCTACACAGCCACGTTTCCGCCAGCCCACGTCGGGCCCTTGCCACCACTGCCAGAAGTGGGGACATTATAAAAGGGAATGCCCCCAGCTGCGGGACCGTTCCACCTGGATCCGACCCGGTCCACCACCACCACCGAGAGCCGCCGCAGCCCATCACTACCAGGACATCGTGGCCACACCGTATGGTTCAGCAGTTCCCATCACAACCGTAGAGCAGTGGGAGGTACTGCACGAGGCAGATCCCGTCCAGGCTAACGCAGACAACCGCCAGCATCACAGGCAGACCGTGTATCTGGAGGGTAAAGCGGTTCAGGGGCTACGTGACTCAGGAGCCACCATCACCCTGGTAAAAGTCACCTGGTCTCAGACCAAGCTAAACTTAGTAAGACTGTGGCCGTCAGGGTAGCCGGGGGAGCAGTATACCGGCTACCCACAGCAAGGGTACATTTGCATTGGGGAGCGGGGGCAGGGCATGTGGAGGTGGGGTTGATGCCGCAGTTACCGGCGGAGGTTTTATTGGGGAACGATCTGGGGAGGCTCACATCTGCTTTTGAGCCCCAGACACCCACCACAGGAGAAGCTCACCCTGTGGTCACTCGACAACAGGCCCGCACCCAGGACTACAACACACTCCCGGAGGTCCAGGTAAGAGATCCTTCCCCTTCCCCTGACTGTGTTCCCTGGGCCCCTCCTAACGAATTTGCAGCTGAGGTAGTGACTGACCCCACCTTGCAGGTGTATAGGGACAAGGTGACAGCAGACACGCCTGGGGGGGAGGGCGAAAGGTTTATTTGGGACAACCAGCTGTTATATCGGGAGACGGATAAGCAGGTATCCGGGTCAGACCCGATTGTGATGAGGCAGTTAGTGGTACCTCAGCGGTACCGGGCGGAGTTACTGCGGATAGCCCATGACATTCCGCTATCTGGACATTTAGGGGTCAGCAGGACCCGATACAGGTTAACCCAAAGTTTCTTTTGGCCGGGAATTAGCCAGGAGGTGCGCAGGTATTGCAACACGTGCGATACCTGTCAAAGGGTGGGGAAAAGGGGGGACCGGCGCAAGGCCAAGTTACATCCCCTCCCCATAATCGAGGAACCCTTTAGCAGGGTAGCAGTAGACCTAATAGGACCCCTCAACAAAGCAAGCCCGTCAGGTAAAAGATTTATCCTGACCGTAGTAGATTATGCCACTAGATAGCCAGAGGCGGTGGGCCTGACGAATATACAGGCTGAGACAGTAGCGGAAGCCCTGATGAAGATATTCTCCCGGGTGGGACTCCCCAGGGAGATTGTCTCCGATCAGGGCACCCAGTTCACCGCCAAAGTCACGCAGCGCCTCTGGAAGTTTTGTGACATTAAGCCGGTCATTAGTTCCCCTTACCACCCCCAGACGAATGGGCTCTGCGAACGTTTCAACGGTACATTGAAACAAATGCTCCGAACCTTCGCAGAGACCCACAAGGACTGGGAGAAGTTCCTGCCGCACCTCCTCTTTGCTTACCGGGAGGTGCCGCAGGAATCCACTGGGTTCTCCCCATTTGAACTATTGTTTGGCCGCAGGGTACGAGGGCCTTTAGATTTGATCAGAGAGCATTGGGAGGGAGAACGGAGCACTGACGGTACCCCCATCATACCCTATGTGTTGGCATTCCGAGACCGCCTTGAGGCCTTAACTCAGACGGTACGCGAGAATTTGCAGGCGGCTCAGACACGCCAACGCACATGGTATGATCGGGGCGCCAGGGACCGTAGCTTTCAGGTCGGGCAGAAGGTGTTAATCTTAAAACCTGTCCGACACGATAAGCTGCAGGCCGCCTGGCAGGGCCCTTATAAGGTGGTGGAACAACGGTGTGACACCACTTATATAATCGGCTCGTGCGTTGGTACTGGGGGGCGACGCATGCTCCATGTGAACATGATGAAGCCCTACCAGGAGCGCTCGGAGGAAGTGACCGCTATATGTGCGCCTAACTCCGAGGAGTTTGACAGTTTACCTCTCCCGGATCTGCTGGGAGAGGGTCAGTTATCCGGGGACTTAGGGGAGGTCACCCTGGGGGATCGGTTGAGCCCACAGGAGCGGAGCGAGGTACAACAGCTGTTGAGGGAGAAGCAGGATATCTTCTCTAATGTACCTGGTTACACTCCTCTGGCCACTCACCGAGTAGACACCCCAGGGCAACTTCCCATGCGTCAGACCCCGTACCGCATCCCAGAAGCGGTACGGGCGAACATGCGCAAGGAGATAGATGAGATGCTCCAGCTGGGGGTGATTGAGCCCTCTGACAGCCCCTGGGCATCTCCGGTAGTCCTAGTACCAAAGCGGGACGGCACGACCAGGTTTTGTGTAGACTACCGGAGATTAAATGAGAAGACGGTATCGGACGCCTATCCGATGCCCAGGATAGACGAACTCCTGGATCGGATGGCGAGGGGGCACTATCTCACCACAATTGACTTGTGTAAAGGGTATTGGCAAATACCCTTGGCACAAGACGCCATCCCTAAGTCGGCCTTTGTCACCCCATTCGGCTTGTACCAATTTAAGGTCATGCCGTTTGGGATGAAAAACGCCCCGGCTACTTTTCAGCGGATGGTGGACCGCCTCCTAGATGGGTTCCAGGATTATACCTGCGCATACCTCGACGATATTGCCATTTTCAGCAATACCTGGCAGGAACACCTGACCCATATAGGAGCGGTCCTAGATAGGATTAGGGCCGCTGGTTTAACGCTGAAACCAGCCAAATGCAGCATAGGAATGGCTGAAGTACAGTACCTAGGTCATCGGGTAGGATGCGGCAAGCAAAAGCCGGAACCAGCCAAAGTAGAGGCTGTAGCTCAATGGCCCACCCCTAGGACTAAGACCCAGGTGTTAGCGTTCTTAGGAACGGCCGGATACTACCGGAAATTTGTCCCGAATTACAGTGCCCTGGCCAAACCTCTCACCGACTTGACCCGTAAAAACCTACCCCGCCAAGTAACCTGGACCCCGGAGTGTGAACAGGCATTTCAGTTGTTAAAAGATGCATTGACAAATGCCCCTGTCTTGGCAGCTCCCAATCCAACTAAACGTTTTCTTGTCCACACAGACGCTTCTATGTTTGGATTGGGAGCAGTATTAAGCCAAGTCGGGGCCGATGGCGGAGAACATCCCGTGGCTTACATCAGCCGGAAACTGTTACCTCGAGAAGTAAGCTACGCCGCCATCGAGAAAGAATGCCTGGCTGTGGTGTGGGCCCTGAAGAAATTACAGCCATATTTGTACGGACAAGCTTTTTCCCTGCTCACGGATCACAACCCGTTAGTATGGCTAAACCGGGTGGCTGGGGACAATGCCCGGCTGCTGCGCTGGAGTCTGGCGCTGCAGCCCTTTGACTTTAATATCCAGTACCGCCCGGGTAAACAGAATGGAAATGCTGATGGGTTGTCTCGACAAACTGACCTAGAGAAATGATCCGTGAGCCTCCCCGGACATCCCCAAGCCGATCCGTGTTGGATCAGACTGTGTATGCCGGCTTGTGGGCAAGGGGGAGCAGTGTAGCGGATGGCACCAGGCGACCCTACAAAAATACTGTATAAAGCTGCATCGTGTATCTGCTGTATTTTCTGTGTATTGAAAAAGAATTGTATTCCTCTGATTGTTCGGTAGTTTCATTCCCTTAGTTTATTCGAATGAAACTACCGAACAACCAGACCTCCCTGTGTGAAGTGTGTCCTCAATTACCCGTTGCAACATTGTTGCGAACGGGTAATTGACTAGTAAGTAGCCGTCCTTTGTTCTCGGGGGTGGCCGCCATTCGACAAACGAACACGTGGCGGCGGCCATTTTAAAACTCCCGAACAGCGGTGTTTTGCCGTCGAGTGTCTGGAACTAAAATCGGACACTCGAGTAGGCGAACACCGCTGAGACCTCCACAGCCCTGGTCCGTTCGGTTCCAAACTACCGAACGGCCCCTCGTTCGGTAAATAGAGAATACCGAACGAGGGGATTCAGGCGAACCCTCCCTAGCCTCTATAGCTAGAGGCTTTCGTGTATTTTATTCCCTTATGCCAGGACCGACCGCAAGGCCCATTCACATGGAACCGAATTCGGCTAGCTCTGTTCGTGCGGTCGGTCATTTTATTCCCTCCATACTTTTCCCGAACCCCTGGTCCGATCTGGGTGATTTTTGGATATGTTGTTCACCCAGATCAGGGCTACCAGGGGATGTATGATTTAAAGGGGTACCCCTACGTTTAGGGGTACATCCAGAAATGGGGGGAATTGGTGTGCTGGATAAGGGGATTATGATGCTGGCTGAGGGGAGGGGATGTGTGGGAGGTTACCAGGACAGGATTGGCTACTGTAATAATTACTGTAAATCCCTCCCTTGCATGGGAGCATGCTTTATAAGGAGACTGTGATTAAAGGCTTGGCAGTTATGCTCCTGAAACTGTGTGTCGTCCAGTTATTGGGATTGCTGTTGGGATATTGCTGTATTTTACCTGCTGGAAACCCTGCCTTTGGATTTACTATTTACTTGTTCCTGAGTCTCACTTGGATTATAAGCGGAGATAACCTGGGTACTATTGCATCTCCGCTACAGTGTTAAACATCAAATCTGCACATAATTCACACCAACCCAGAACTCTTGTCTAGGGATAGCTAATGCCCGCATGATGTGGCTGAAGGTGGACTTACACCTCCGGTAACAGAGAGGTTAAAATCCGTTTTGCAGCATTTCATAGTGAACAGAGAGGGAATATCTCACAGAGTCTCCTAGGGTCTCCTTATAGTTCATCCAAACACAGGATATACAAACCACAGACACCACAACCACTTTAAATCACTGAAATTATTTTTGTGCTTGGAGTAAACCTTTAATAAATGGAGAAAAAATTCACATTGATTTTATCACATTGATATCTACCAGGCCCTAAATATTTTTAATCAACCCTTACTGACCCCTAAAGTTTTTTAGTTATAGATATCTGTGAATGCAACATTTGCTATATGCTTTAGTATTCTAAACTGAACTTTAAAAAGAAAATTTTATATTTTGCAACATTGGTGAGGTTTCCAATTTAAAAAGCAAATAGTTACACAAAAATTACAAATAATCTGAGTTTAGCATAGTGATTAAAATGAAAACAATATCAGCAAGTTTTACCGAGCCTACGCATGCAGTCAGTGGAGATTTGCATTTGTGGTTATACCTACCACAGATTTGATTGCTAATAATCTGGCAAGAACTATTTCCAATGTTATAAACAATGTCTGTGATATTTGTGTAGCAGGTTCATGGTTTGCCATTGTTAAACACATCTACAAATCCTAGTATGATTTGTCTTTTAGGTTTATCCCCAGAACATCAAATCAAAAAAATGTGGGATGAAATAGCTAAGCATGTCTTCTCAGTCAGTCAAACAAAAATAGTCATTCACACGGGTGCACACATGCTGACATGATCTAACACACATTTCCCCTTTCTAGAGCTGCGAAGTGAGACTCAGGTAAAGAGAAGTTGCTCATTAGAAGTTACAGAATCCCGCACTGCTGTTTGTTAAATATGAGTGTGACACCCAAAGAAATCCAATGTTTTGGCTATTTAGCCTCTAATTATGCATTCAGCTTAATAGCTGAACTGTGGCATTTCTTTGCGGCTAGCTGGCGAGCTCTCAATACATTCTACACTTTATTTCACCACCAAGGCGTGTGACACACTTATCTGCTTGCTCTAAGTTTTCCTTCTACACAGCACCGGTGATGTGATGGGGCTCCTTTTCTTACACAACTACAGAATTAGATATGTGTGTGTAAGAGCTGTACATATACACAGTACACAGCCATGATATGCAAATCACATTATAATCTCACTACTGCTACTTCTATTGATGTAAGTCACATTCAAATCTTATTCACAATTTAATTTAAAAAAAAAACTGCCACGACCAGTTCACCTTGGGTGTAAACCTCTCCTTAAATAATAAAAATATATACTGATACAAAGTTAAAATATATATGTTATTAGTTTAGGGGATATTCAAGAGATTCTCTTAGTGCCAACATTACTTTAGCTCTATGGGGTTGTTCTGGTGTATAGATCATGCTTCTGCATTCTCAATGTTCAATTCGCTACCATTTATAAGTTAAATGCAACCCTAATCACATCTCCACTGGCTTTGACTCACATAGTTCTCCTGCTCTGTTAATAGCTTGCTAGCATAGGA